GAAAGGTTCTAGGAATGGTTCTAGGAATGTTTCTAGGAATAGTTCTAGGAATATTTCTAGGACTGGTTCTAGGAATAGTTCTAGGAATGGTTCTAGGAATAGTTCTAGGAATATTTCTAGGAATGGTTCTAGGAATAGTTCTAGGAATATTTCTAGGACTGGTTCTAGGAATAGTTCTAGGAATGGTTCTAGGAATAGTTCTAGGAATATTTCTAGGAATGGTTCTAGGAATAGTTCTAGGAATATTTCTAGGAATGGTTCTAGGAATAGTTCTAGGAATGTTTCTAGGAATAGTTCTAGGAATATTTCTAGGAATGGTTCTAGGAATTTTCTTAGAACCATTATAGAACTTTTCCTAGAAACAGTCATAGAACTAATCCTAGAACTACTCCTTGATTCATTAATAGATCATTCCTAGAACTGTTTCTACATCCTCATCTTCCGTCAGCTCTTAGGTTTTAGACTTTTCTTGCATTTCTGGTTCCGTTGTTCTATGTTCTCAGACTCCAGGTTGGTTTCATGTTAATCAGGGTTTAGATATTTGCTTTCCTTCCTCTCCTGCTCTGGATCTTTCCTGAATCTGGGTGGAAGGGTTAGCTTAATCTGTCCCTCCATCTCTCTGCTTTGGTTCCCATATTCTGAGAGTTCTCCTGTGTTCCTCTGCAGAACATCCACGGCCACAAAGGTCCGATCACGGCCGTGTCGTTCGCCCCTGACGGCCGCTACTTGGCGACCTACTCCAACGCCGACAGCCACATCTGCTTCTGGCAGGTAAGCAGATCCCACCTCAGTCCTCAGAGACCATTTAGCTCTGATCTTCATCTGCAGTCAGATTCTAACCGCAACCTTTTCGCTTTTATACATAATTCACTCAAGATGGGTTTATTGAAGAGAATTTACTTTATCAAAGGCCTTTTATAGTTTTTAATTTTTGTGGCTAAAACTTTAGTGCAAGAATAATAACAGAAAGCTCCCTTAAATTTGTTAGTTTTAAATGGTTTGAAAAGGAAGCGGAGAACATCTATCATTAACAGATCTATTATAAAGGGACCCAGCAGAGTCAGAATAAACCTTTATCACAACATTAAAATCAATGTTTTTATTTTGGGAAACGGTTTTCAGATCTGGGTCTGACTGACGCGGCTAATCTGAGCTAAAAAGCTACCAGAGAAACGACATCATGCTGATTTAAAGACACCAGATCAGCTGCAGGGAAACAAACATCTTTATGACTTTAATGCTTATTGAAATCTTTTCATAACAAAACATTATTTCTCCAGTTTGTTGAAATTGTTGAAGGTTTCCTCATTTCTTTCTGCAGATAATTTAGTTTTAATTCCTGCTCATATTCTGAAATAAGCTCAATAGTTTCTTTGATCTGAGCAGAGATTATTTCCAGGAACAGCAGCTACACGTGTGGCTAATAAACAGAGTCTAACATGCCTGCTTTCCCTTCCCAGAACTGGTATTTTTAATGAAAGGTCTTTACGACCTCTGACATGCCCCCCCCCCC